TATGTAGCAATGTGTGTATTTAATTTTTTTCAATCCATTTTTATATATATTTTGTATCTATAAACAGGTCAATAAATGAATCTTAAATAATAAATGATACTATTATAGGACTATCAACTATTAGATTATTCGACTTAAAATTGTAGGTTCTCTAGTCGTTCAGCAATTGCACTTGGCAGTGTAAAGTTTTCTTTTGCTTTGTTCTTATGAGATTTAGAAGTTATAAAATATTTAGACATGGGCACTGGTAATATTTTTTCTCTCTTTCTGGCAATGCCACCTTTATTCTCATTATTGCACCATAATATTGTACATAAAATCAATATAAGAACATAATAAATTAATCTCTGTTTTCCTACATTTTTTTATTTTCATCTTATTTTTTACAAATAATTTATTTTCATTTAACACTTTTTAGTTTTTTTCTTTCCCCCCCCCCCCTCCAATTCTCATCATTACATTTCCTTTAGATTAGACCTTAATTTTAGTTCAACAATGAACATCCTGTTTGATTTAACATTTTTTCTTCTTTTTAGTGTGTAAAATAAATCATAAACATTTGCTTAAATATCAATTACATAATAAATTAATCTCAGTTTTACACCTTTTCATTTCCATCTTAATTTTGTACAAATAATTTACTGTCATTTGACAATTTTAGGCTGTTTTTTTTTTCAATTCACATCATTACATTTTCTTTAATTTAGACTATAGTTTGCACCTTAATTTTAGCTCAGCAATAAACATCCTGTTTAAATTATCATTTTTTATTTTTCCTTCTGCTTTTAAGCATGAAAGCATTTTACATTCTGTTTTTCCAGTTTGTTAATTATGTTAACTACACAATCCCAATAACCTTTAAGTCTTTGACACTCATAACACATATGCTTTTCATTTTCCTCTTTTTTACATAAATAACAATTAAGGTCTTGTTTTATGTTCCATACAAACAACCTTATTATTTGGTTAGATTCTATGTAATAACTTAAAATTCATCTCTACTAGTCTTGTTTCTTTTATTCTGAAGACCTTATTACTCCATATTGAATCCCAGTCAAAATGTTTACTTTGAAAGATATTCTCCCATTGCTTCTGGGAAGTTGGTTCACAGAATATTTGTTGTATTTGTTTAGTATATGTTTTTGAAGTAACCTTTACCAACTCATTGATTTCGGTTATAATTAAAGGCTTCTTGTTTATCTTACTATATATTTGCTCTATCCATGGTTTTGGTATTGCATGTAAAACCTGTTTTACCTGTATAATCCAGTTTCTTTGATTTATAAGAGCTGCTTTTAACATAGTTGGTGATTTCAATCTATTACCTTCACATAATCACCCACATAAATTATATTGGAATTAATCCACTCACTAAAAAATAAAGGTTTGTTCTTAAATCTAATGACATCATTTCCCCATAGCAGTTGTTTCTTTATTTCATTAACATCTAAATTAATGGTAACCTATTATTAAACAAAATAAATAAAAAAACGAAACCGACATGACATTGGCATATTGGAATGATCGCACCGCAAAACAAACAGCCGCCCTGAACGTCCTTCAGCCCTAGTAGCCAGAGAAAGCTAGAAATTACAGGGTTTTTTTTGTTTTTTTTTTTGGACATATTTTTGGTTCCTGACATTGTTTTCACAAATTTCAATTTTTTAGTCATCTTATGGCCAATAGCAATGTCGTACGCGTGCATCAAACAGATCTTTGCGCGCGTTTATGCCGATACATAGTGAAAATATGCTAAAATCTGACCTCTTTTTAATCAGTTATTATAGTTCCTTAGGATGAATGGTTACCCCAATTTTTATTACATTTTCTGAAAGCAGATGAGTTGTAAATATGATTTTATAGATTTTAATGGCTGATCGGACGTTGCGACGTCATCATATTGCCATCTAAATTCAAAAACACTGGATTTTATCTTTGACGTCATTTTTGAAAATGCGCATTTGAGCGTATCTCGCTTATTCTTGGTCGATCGTGTCTCAACTTTGAGTATGTTATAGCTGAGACAATTATCTGAATTATGACTTCTAGTTACATGTTGATGACGTCATCATAGTGAAAATGAATGTGTTTTTTTTACCTCCCTCATACTTTTTTTTCTCAAAGCTTTTGACGATTCCCATAACCAATTGGCATTTCTAAATCATATTCAGTGGGTATAAAATTTAGGTCATGTACCTTAATTTTTAGTGCGCACGTCATATCGTGCGCGTACGCCTGAGTCAAATTTTTAATGCTCAAATCATGCCTATTTTTAATCAGTTATAGCTCCTTAGGATGAAAGGTAACCCCCAAATGTTATTACATATTGCTGACGGCATTAAAAACTGAATGTTTATATATAACGTAATAATTTTTATGTGGATCTGACCGTATCTTGCTTATCGACCGACTCCCAGTTTTGAGTATGTTATAGCTCAAAAAATCTTTCAGACGTGTACCATTCATTTATCATTTTGATGATGTCATCATGGACAAAATT